AGCAACCAATCAGTAGTAATTAGAGTAAAATGGGGAGAGGTGTAAAGGGATCAAAGGGGGTCAGATTCTAGTCTTAATTGGGGAGCAAAGAGAGAAAGGGTGGGGGAGGAGAGGGAGAGAAGGGGTCACACAATTAGTTAATGTCATCCCGTCTCACGTTTTGTTGGGAGGTGTGAGAACGCAAGGTGTGCTGACGCGTGACGGTGTTGGTGGCCTGGGGTGCTTGCTATGCCAGCCTCGTCACAGTTTTGCGGCATATTAGGAAGCGTGCTGGCAGATGTTGAGTTGATATTCGGCCATGGGAGCCTTAGGACTGCTACCAACGCCTTCTGCGCACATAAGATTGGGCTAGTGGGGTGTATGGCGACTGCCTCGGCCGTCGCAAGTAGCCGCTGACGCAGGAACTTGGAATGCTTCGCCGACTATTTATAGATCGTCCTTAATGCCTGGGGTTATGTCTACTCGATGACCGCTGTCAACCAAGTGTGCCAAAATCCCGCTTGATATCGACTTTATTTCGCCTCTGTTTAGCCAAACAGCATGGTGTTCTCGCACGCGCTTCGCTAGCCGCCTAGTCATTCGACCAATATAAGCCGCCCAACAGAAGCATGTAAGGTTGTAAACAGACATTGAAGAGGTCTGGAACGGGAGCCTATCCTTGCCTTCAAGGCGAGTGCTTGAGGATTACTACTTTTAACTTAGCTAATAGATACGTACGCGAGATTGCAGCGTTCAAGGGAAGCTGTTGAAGTGCGCTTGCTGGATCCCCTTGAAAAGGCAATGTAAGAAATAAAGTTTTCTTCTTAGCCGTCGGCACTTCAGATTTTGGTGGAAAATATACTAATGACTCCTACAGCGAGTATTTCTTCTCCCAAAAAACAAATGCAAATGCAATTTGAGTAGATTAAACGTCGGTCAAATATGGACGGGCTTTTTTAAGCACATCTATTCTCTGAAAACGGCATAAGTATATGGTCAAGTCCACCGTCCCGAGGTTGTCCGGTTTCGTCTAGTCCAATCCCATTCGATCGTCCCTTTGGACAGCGAAACTAGCCAAAGGAATAGTGATATGGCTCAATCATCGAAATGGAATCTTCAAAATAACCGTCAACCCAAACAGACGGGGTGAAAAGACGGTGACGGTTTGTGTAGAAATAACTTCGAAGTCGCTCGCTTTACTGCCCAAACCCAAAACCTTCGCGCTAGAGGAGTACTGGAAAAACACAATCAGTTTAAGGACTTGCTCTAGTTACTGCGACGGGGGATAAAAGGATAGGAGCACACGGTATTTTTAGGATACGTTCCCTTACCTGAACACGTTAAGCACTGGCATGCCCTGATTCGCCATCAACACTGCACCCACGTAGAAGGAGGCAACTGTTTGAAAGTAGGACATTGAGTTGGCAAGACAGTGAACGATCGCAAGCGTTAAGCTTTCCTTATATTTTTGCCTAAAATAAAAGTAAATGACTGAGCGACCTAGGATAAACAGAGACCCCTCACCAGGAGTCCAACTTAAAAGAATGAACTTTTGTTTGCGTAATGTATATATATATATA